CCGCATAGACAGGGTCAAAGTATCGACACTGTATTTTGTGAATTTGCCTAGTATGATCCTTGTGTCGGGATGCTCTGCCCCACCGAAGCACTTCTCCTTAACTCTTCAAATAGAGCACATCAGGATATGTTTTCACCATAGGGCTTATAGACACCGGCATGTCCTCCATAATAACTACGCCGAATGAAGCATTATTGCTTTCGAGTTGGTATATGGATGGGCCAACGGTTAAATATTTTGTTCACTCAACACATATGTATGTGAGTCGGAGCTAAATCTTGTCCCTAAAGACATATCTGAATGGTGATTGGTCCATAAGAATTCTCAGTCATTTTAAGCTCGCACTTCCCTTTCCTTTTGCTTCATAAAACACACAGTTGGATTCATATACCTTTGCCTGCTAATTTGGAGTCAACAATCGTTAGCCACATGATAATCAACCATCTGGAGCTGTGATTGTTTCCTTAGTCATTGCATGACTATAAAATAATAGAAACTCCAAGATAAACATGTCATAATATCCCATTTCAAGTGTCATTTTTAAAGAGTGGTATCTGGACCAGCTCGTGTGCGCCGTGTCTATTCTATCGAGTATCTGCATCTTTCCACTAGTATAGGTATCAGGTAAGTTGTGCACCAAGGGTTAAGCAGACAAGAAGAAATCGCATAGTTATTTGTTTTCTGCGTCTATTGAGATTCGACCACTAGTCTCCCATAATCTTCTTTCCAACTTCATCAGTAGTTAGGCCATACTCCTGGGTGCCATGTGTATTTTGATTGATTGTGCATTCATATAAAAAGAAGAGTCGAATTTTTTCTTTAAAGAAATTTTTAAAAATGAATTTTCTTTCTTTTATTTAAATGTGTTAATGTAAGAGTTTTGAAGTGGAGATCAGTTTGTAGCTCCAATCTCTTTATTTTTGAATTTTTGCTTAAAAAATAATTCTGGTAATTTTTTTTCCCGAATATTTGCTAGTACATGAATCGGTCCTATATTTTCCTTGGTAGTAAGGTACCAGAAAAGAGTTGAAGAATTGGGCACCGAAAAGCATCTATTAGGTAAACTTGAGATATTTCAGTGCACCAGAGGAAGGAGTAGAGCAATAAACTTGGGCTAGGGGAACTAAAAGTTCAGTGATCTCCAAACTTGATTTTTTATTCTTCTAACACTTCTTCTAGGATGGATAATTACTTTATCTCAACCATATATCATTTTTAGCAAACAAGTTCATGGTCTCTTGACTCTGACATGACGATAAGATCATCTATCCAACACGGATATATATGATTTCCACAAGTTTTTATGTATTTAGGGTGACAATATATCTGACATGGTTATAACAGGGACATGTCATGACTAATTGAAGGGGTTTGGGGAGTTGGTTCAAAGGCGCTCTAAATCAATCAACAGCCCCTTAAACCCAAAAAAAGTTGGGTTTGGTTATAAGAAGTGGGTTGAGAACCATGAGGTCTCAGGTTCAAATCCCATCGGAGACAAAAACTTTAGTGTTCCTATCTGTCCAAGCCTTGGTAGACAGAGTTACCTGGTACTTGTTGTTGGTGGAAGGTAGCAGGTATCCCGTGGAATTAGTTGAGGTGCACGCAAGCTGGCTAGACACCACAATTATCAAAAATAAAAAAGAAAAAGAATCATTAGTAACCAAACCCTACCTATGCAATTTGTAAAAGCTTTTCTTCTTTTGCATAAAACTCTTCCAAATTTTGAACCAAACGCCACCTAAATAATTGGTACTATGCAAATTATGGATAGGCTAAAGCTAGAGATTCCCTCTTTTTTTTTAATTTTTTTGATGAAGGGATTCTCTAAGTCTGACATTTTTCCTATGTGGAGTCGTGGACGTACAAGCATCTAACTAAATAAAAAAGAACATTGACTAATCCCAACTAGTTGGTATCACCAATCTGGATCCCTTGTTTGTATTGCTCTGTTTCTAGCAAAGTCAAAGGCTTTAAGATGTGATGATTTAATTTCTCTTAGTTTGTCACAATTAGACATCTCATAGCAATAGCAACAACAACAACAAACCCAGTTTAATCCCATAAATGGGGTCTGGGAAGGGTAATGTGTAGAGAGGCTGCTTCTGATAACCCTCGGCTCAAGGAACAGTAGATACTAGACATCTCATAGCGTATGCTTTTATTAGTCCTTGATACTTGCAGTTGATCATGCAGTTTGAACTTTGACGTTAAACTAAGCTAACATCAAAGGCTGGTTGTGTATAATATTCCATCTTTCCTACGTCGAATTGATGAATTCCTTTATCTTTTGCCATCACTAGTAATAGCTTTTTCTTAATTCGCCTGTTTCTGCAGGTTGAGAGGTGGAACGAGCAGAGGGAGAACGGGACTTTCCCAGGCCCTCTTTAATTTGAAACATCGGATTGCAGCATCCTTTTGGTTATGAAACATTGGTTTCCATTTTAATGTTATTTGTTTGGAAGGGTAAAACCTTGTTTCCTTTTGAATTGTCAAGGGATCATCAATAAGGAACTTCTTCCTACTTGTTATCACTTGAAAAGCCCTGCAGCTTTATGCAGTTTCGCTGTTTTTATTCCTTGGATTTTATAGTTGTTTATTCAAAGGTTAAAGACATGGTTTTTTATGTGCTTCTTTCTGCTTTGGTTTTCTTCTCATGTTTTTGAATCAGTCTTATTTCTTCTATTGACAAGAAGATAGTTGCTGATATAACGGAATTGTGACTAGGGGTGTCAAATGGGAGGGTTGGGCCGATTTTGGGCGGGTCAAAATATGTTAGAGTCAATAAAGAGAATTTTTCATAAAGTACCATCTTTTAGGTCTAATTAGCCATTTATAAATATCTTTTGCTATATTATGTGTAATAGATATTTTTTATGTTTTTATACAATGTATTTTATGTATTTAAGCTATTGTATTCATTAATACAATAGAAAAAATAGGCGTTAAAAAGGGAATTCCAGCTAAGGTTGATATGTATTTAATTGTATTCACGCGACATTAACGTGAATACAGTAACGTATCTGCGCAAAAACTGGAAGGTTAAACTAGTTAAAAACGGAAGGAAATCAAATCACATAATATTCTCTTAATTTAACTCAACGAACAAAAACTAGTACACATTAATCTGTATTCTGCCATACACGATTCAATAAAAAAAGCAGCGAAAACCAGAGGAACGATGAGGGCTGAAAACAGAAAAAATACAACTGAAAACAGTTGAATAAAACAGTTGAATACAACTGACAACAGCTGAATACAGAGAAATACATATGAATAATACAGTTGAGAACAACTGAATACAGCTGAAAGCAAGAAAAATACAACTAAATACAGCTGAATAATATAGTCGAATACAACTGACTACAGCTGATTAAAACAATTGAATACAACTGATTACAACTGAAACATATGAATAAAACAGTTGAATACAACTGACTACAGTTGAATACAGAGAAATACATATGAATAATACAGTTGAGAACAACTGAATACAACTGAAAGCAAGAAAATACAACTGAATACAGCTGAATAATACAGTTGAATACAACTGACTACAGCTGATTAAAATCCTTCCCCTTGACAGATGAAGCTTCAGAGATATGGATTTTCCTCTCTTCCGGAATGGGAAGACTTGTTTCTTTTGAAGATTTCTCAACTTGGACTTCTTTCGATTTGTCATTGTGTAATTTAGTTCTTCTCTCTGAAGATTTAGTTGCTGATACACCTGCAAAATCTGACTCCGCCTGAGTTATTTGCAACGAGAAAGAGGGCCCATCAAAATTGAGAATTTTGGTGGGTATACCTCTGGTTATCATCTTGTGTGGCGTTGAATCCGACATTGGAGAGACAAAACGAAAACTTCCTGGTGAGTAAACAATAACAATGGTTATTGTTTCAGAAACAAATAAAAATCTGTATCAAAATCAGAGAAACTAAATATTTGTATCAAAATCTAAGAAACTAAATACTTACCCCAATAACCTGTATCAGGAATAAACCAGTGATTTTAGAGACAAAAGAACTGGGGAGTGATAATGGCGGAGACCTAGCGAATTTGGGTGAGAGAAGAAGTATGAATCGTGGGTTTGTGGGAGAAGAGAGTAAAGTGCATGCAAAAAGATAGAGAGAGAACGTGGTTAGTAAGATTTACGTTGATTATGTGAGAGAAAATCCTAAAAAGGAGAGAGAAAAATATTATTTAGCATATGTGGTGCCTTAAATGTAGGATGTAACTATAATTAGATATTTTGCTATAAAGGATAAAAGGTATCTATAGGATGTAATATTTTAAAATGGTATTTATTTAAAATAAATAAGGTACTAAGCTTTTCTATAGGGTGTAAAATTTCCGTCAATAAATGGGCGTGTCAAATGACTTGTCCAATACTCCTTTCGGTTCACAATAAGTGATTTTTTGTGGTCCAAAATAAGTGATTTTTTCAGATTTCAAGAATGAATTAATTATTTTTTTCTACACTGCCTTTGGAATATGTGTTAGGAGTGTTTATGTGAAGAGACAGTAAAGGTTAATATGGCCAATTTCATTGCTAAATAATGTTAAAATGTGGATTTCTTAACCTATGTGAAAACAATCAAAAAATTAATTATTATGGACCGGAGGGAGTAGTTACTTAGGCTGAGATGTGCTGAGTCCAAATGAGCTAAAATTTCGGTTAAAGTTTATAAACATGTGACTTTTGACCCTCCCCAAGATTTTTCATATTTTAGCACGTAAATATTTAATTTAGGCATAATATAGATATTTTAAGTAATATTGACTCTTTTACTTTATTTTATTACAAGGAAATAAAAATCACAAAAATAGGTTCATTAATGTTTTGTAGTCATTTTTAATCTTAAAAATCTTTAAAAAAAAATAATAATACAAAAATAGTATCGTATTTTTATTTTAATATGATATTTGAAAATACCAAAATAGGTTTGTTTTAATGGTTAGTTTTATTTTAGTAATTATTTGAATAGTAGAATTAATTAAACAATGAGACCGTATTTTTTAATTTCGTTCGCAGGGAAAGAATAAAGCTTGGGCTCTAGCAACCCATTTTTAGGCCTAATTTTGGACCTAGCCCATAATTTCCAAGCCCAGAATTCCTAGGCCCATACCCCTTAACCTAAAAACCCTACAACTATCTAGACCTAGACTCTACAATATAAGAAGGACCTAACGAAAATCTGAGAAAAAATAATGCTGAAAACGGACTGGGAAAAGTTGCGCAACCTTTCACAAGAGCCCCACCCCCGTCATCGTCTTCTTCGAACCACCCCACACCCAAACGACCCCCTGAACGTCTTCTTCTTCTTCATGAAGAACAAAGAAAGAAGACATCAGAACCGAACAGGGTGAGAAGTCAGTTGTTTCTCTTGGATTTTTGGACTGAACCTAGATACACAAACGACCCCTGATATCATCTCCTTCACCCCCGCCAGCCACGCCGCCAGTCCGATGGAAAACACAGTTCCCATCCATCGAGCAACCCATCTTTTTCCTCAGCTGAAAGACCAGACCCTCATGAGTTTCTTCTTCATGAAGATCTAACAAAAACCAGAGAACACAAAAAGAACCCTACGTGAGCTTGAGCCATTTTTAACAGAGAAAGGACCTTTCAGCTTCTGTTTCTTCCCGTTAACAAAACTCGCCAAAAACCTTGAACACCAGCTGATGTTCTCTTCGTCTTCCTCCTCCAGCAGCTCGCCTGAAAAACGAGCTCCAGCCGAAAACCAGAACACACCATCAACAACCACCAACGAGTCCAGCCGTGAATCCCGTTCGTGAATCCCAGTTTACTGCCTTGCAAAAGTTTCTGAAGCATCCCTTTCTTCTACTGGATAGCAGTTGCTTTGAGTTTCGATGTAGAGTTTTCCGGCGCCAATTTGAGGTTCCGGTTCGTAGTTTTGGCATTTCAGTCCGCCGATCGTGGCTCTGTTTGGTATGACGAGTGATATTGTAAATCTCCAACTTTGTTTATCAACATAGAGCTATTTTGAATTCATTTCTAGATCCATCAAGGACAATGTGTTCTCTCAAGTGCAAACGTTTTGCTGCTTCTAACTCCTTGGAATGGGAAACAATTCATTTTTTTTATCTAAAAGAAATCTGAGTGTTTTTGAATCTATTAATTAATTCATAAAGTGGTTTCATGGAATTGAAGAAATCAAACAGGGTTTCGTGGGCTATTGGACTTAATCTTTGTCAGCGTAAACAATGATTAAAGTGTGGGTTTGAATCCGTGTTTGTTGAGTTTCCGGTGCTAATTCGGATTCCGTCTGCGGTTCGACACAATTTGAGTGTTAACATTGAAACAACTGATTTTCCGGCTATATCGAGGTCCAATTCTTTCATTCTCTCTTTGTTTTATTCGAGCTTAATGTTAATTATTTGTTTGGTGATGTGATCCCGTTGTTTCTGTAATTGTTCTCCGTAGTTTTGAATTTGCTCGCTCGGTTATCTGCTCGTGTTTACTCGAATTGGTTATAGCTGAACATGATTTTGTCACAGTATAGAAATTGGATTGCTGAACTACGTCACATTAGATTAAATGGGCTCGGGTGTGCATTTCATGTGACCCTACCATAATTTTGAATAATAATAATGAAATAAACATGTTTAAAATCCGGGTGTGCATTTCATGTGACCCGATTCTAATTTTCAATAAGGTTAAGTGTGAGCACGTGATTTTTGCCCTATATGAATTATTCCAACAAATTCAAAACAAAATAATTTCTTTCAGTGTTTGCAATTTTGTTGGATTTCGTGGCATTTTCTGTTAATTATTTGCATTTGTCTGTGCACGTTTATTTTATTTAATTCATGAAAAATACAAAAAATATGTTGCATCTGCATTTAGGATTTAATTTTATATTTTTAGATTAATTAGAAAATTAGTTTGTTTTATAAAAAATGAAAATCACAAAAAATAATTCATTTTGCATTTTTACTTTTTAATTTTGAATTGTATAATTTTTCTTTAAATTTAGGATTTAATTAATTATTGTAAATACCATGATGAGTGATTAATATAATTGGGTAGGTTAATTTATCTTAAAAAATTATTATTATTTAATTTAGGGTTTATTTTAATTTTGAAAAGAAAAGAATTTTGGAAATTGAAAAGGAAAAGAAAGAAAAGAAAGGAAATCTAAATCTGGGCCAAAACCAATCCAAATTTCCCCAGCCCAAACGAAAACTACCCAATACCGGCCCAAACCACCCTAACCCGGTCCGGCTTCCCCCCAAAACTAAACGACGTCGTTTCAATAAGTATTGATCTGAGCCGTTGATCTCCCCTTGATCGAACGGCTCAGAACTGAAGCCCCAGGGGTATTTAAGTGTCCGAAACCTTTCCCCCTCCTCAGAACCCCTTCTGCTCACCACCCCCACCAAAAACACCCCGAAACCCTAGCTAAGCCGCCCCCAAATCCCCGGCCTCCGGTGGCGGCGCCACCTCCAAACGCCACCAAAATCACACCACCGAACCACCCTGACTCCCTCGTTCCGAATCCCCACTCTATTTCCCTCGAATTTAGCCCGATATTCTCGAATATTAGATCAGAAGATGAACCATAAAATCCCCAGGTCTCAAATCAAGGTTTCATTGCAGATTTTAAGGCTCAGTTCGACTTTAATCGCGTGTTTTTGACAAAGAACATGCGATTAATCTCAGATTGGGCCGAAAATTGGAGATTTCGAAGAGTAAATGCTATTTCTTATTTGTCCAAGATCCCTAGGTATTCTTCTTTCCCCTTTGGTATTTTGTTTCCCCATCCTCACCTTCTTCTACTGTTTCTCTTATTTTCTGATTTTTATTCTGTTTCTTTTTCTTCTTTATCTTCCGTACCTGCATGTTAGATTTAGGATGTGTGTGATTGTAAGTTGGGTCTTGTGTTCGAGTTCGGATAGTTTGAATTTGCATTGTCTTTTGGGCTTAACTTTGTTCCGAGTCTTCAGGGTCTTAATTTGAACGTTTGAGTTTCGGGGTTTTTCTTAGTATTGATTGAATTCACAAGATTAAAAAGCCTAATGGAGAATTGAACAAGATTTTTAGTAGACCTATCGAGTTGGGTCAACTTGACCCAATTAGCTTGACCAATTGACCCGGGTGGTTCTGGGATAGTTTCAGAGTCTTTAAAGGGTAGTCTAGGGAATTTGCCTAAGGGAATCTTGCTATAACAGACTAGGAAGCTTCTAGGAAGCTAGGGAAGGGGTTTGTTCTGATTTTTTGTTTTTTTAAAGGGTATCTGAGCTATAATAAAAATGAAAAAGAGGGCAAAGTGCAAAACGAAGCCTGCCCTAATAGCTTGCCTATAAGGCAGCTTTTCTTGCCTTTCAAGGCAGACCCAAGGGCTAAAAAAAAGAAAAAAGCTCAGAAAAATACAAAAATGCCAGAAAGTTTACTGTTTCATTGTGTCTTCTGTTAATTTCTGCAATTTTCCTGGTGGTGCAACAAGTTCTAAAATCAGCTTGGCTGAAGTTCTGCCTGGTCCATTGTTTGGGTTGAATGAGTTTCTGGATGTTTACTTCAAATTCTGGGTTTGAAATTTAATTTTAGAGCAGTTGGTTGGTTCTGTTGATTGGGTTTTGCTGCTGACCTTTGCTCTTGCTACTGCTATTTGCTGATCTTATTACCTCTCTCTTATTTGTGCTCTCAGGTATTTTCTTATCCCCTTTGCTAACAAATGAAGTGCCACAAGTTGGAGCCAGACTGAATTTGTATGCAGATTTGGATGTTCAAATTGGAATTCGAATAGAAATCTTGTTTAGATATTAGATTCTATTAGCTTCTGCTGTTTATACCTTTGTGTTCTTGTTATAATTCATGTGTTAAGCTATGTATGTATAGTTTGCTTGGTTTTAACTGTAGCCAATTGATGTTTCTGTACAGTTTACGCCTCAGTTTAAAAGGTATTATTTTTGATTGCTGTATAAGGTTCTTATCCATGCCCCCAACTCGTTTTCTTCCCTCCTCAATGGTCGAAAAGGGTATGAGCAAGGTCATTGTTAGATTTTGGCTTCAGGGATTCGATCCTGAAGTCCTTGCCTGTAGCCAGCGTTGCCAAAATATTTGGGTCGTTGGGCCTGAATATTATTGGAGTCTCTTAAATCCAAAAGAGTTCCCCTACGTTGAGGCAGATTTGTTTCTCAGAAGTTTGGGCCTGTTTAATTCAGGCTCTTCCGCTAACAAAATGGTTCAATGAAGCCTTGTTGATTGGAAGGGATTTGTCAAGTACTTTAGTGTTAAATAATTAGGGTCTTGAAAAGGAAATTTGAGGCAAGCCATAATTAGACACTTAGTAACAAATGACTCTTGTGTTAATTTCATAATGTAGATGTAAAATAACAAATGTTCGTAGAGAAACCTTTAGGGCCGTTTAAAATACTATCGTGATTGTGGACACGTTCGCGTGATACAGTTATGATTTCTTTAAAAATAAATCGGAGTATACGTTTGCGTAACTTCGGCTAAACTTTCTTAATAATACAAAATGTTATTAATTATGGACACGTTCGCGTGACATGATTTTTGACGCGCCAAAGGGAAAGAGTATACGTACGCATAACTCAATTCTTTAACTACGAATAATCAAGTGATTTAAAAGCAGTAATAGATAAAAGCACATAGGATCTAAAGTCAGTAATTAAACAATTTTAATAAGCCAAGTATGATCAAAGCGACCGTGCTGGAACCACGGAACTCGGAAATGCCTAACACCTTCTCCCGGGTTAACAGAATTCCTTACCCGGATTTCTGTGTTCGCAGGCTGTAGAACAGAGTCAACTTCCTCGATTCGGGATTTTAAACCGGTGATTTGGGACACCCTAAATTATCCCAAGTGGTGACTTTGATTTTTAATAAATAAACGATCCCGTTTTGATTGTCCTTTAATTGGAAAAACTCTTTTGTATTTATACCCTTTACGGGGTGTGGTAAAAAGGAGGTGTGACATTAAGTAGAACGTGTCGTGAACCGCGGGTGCATTTTATGTAGCGTGGCTTACAATGTGTTTTAAATAACCTTGAATTTTTCTGAAATATTAAAAGCGGTTTTAAAGTTAAAATTGCACATAGGTTCAAAAATGTTTTAAATCAGATAATTATGCTTGTTATAATAGTTAAGCGACTATGCTAGAACCACGGAACCCGGGAATGCCTAACACCTTCTCCCCTGTTAACAGAATTCCTTACCTGAATTTCTGGTTCGCGGACTGTAATACAGAGTCAATCCCTTTCCTCGATTCGGGATTTGAACCGGTGACTTGGGACACCATAAATCTCCCAAGTGTCGACTCTAAATCTTTTAATAATAAATCTCGTTTCGATTGTCCTTTAATTGGAAAAACTTCCTTATACCTTACGGGGTGTAGGAAAAAGGAGGTGTGACAAAGTTCAACCCACCCAACTCTTATTAGGCTTTACTTAATATGTGTTGTTTTTTCATGAATTGTATAATTACTAAAAAAGATTTTTTTTATTTTGTTATGGTCATATATAACAAATCAAACAATATAAAATTATTTCTAAGATATTTTGACAAAGTTACTAATGGATCAATTTAGGCTAAAAATTTGCCCCACTTTAAATGGGTGAGTCAATAATCAGCCCAACCTCGAACGGATTGGGCGAATAATTTGGGCTTGGCAAATTTGACAGCCCTAATTGAGACAAACAAGTCTCTCTTCAGTAATCCTAAAGGAGAAGTTTACATCAAACTGCATGAGTTTACTAGGCTGCAATAAATATGTCAAAGAGTGAAAAACTTGGAAGACAACAATATAATTTTTCTTTCTAGTTTCCTTTGTTGAAAGAAATTGATATATAGGAGTTCAAACTTCAAACTTCAAACATTTCCTTGATTAATTAACACAAAAATTTATTCTTTTGCAATGTTCGATTTTTAATTAATCAAAGTTAAAAAGAATCGATATGTAATCTAGGGATTAATTTATTGCCCTAATCTTTTAAATAAGGTATTCCTTGATACATTCCTTCTTATATTCACTTTTTTGTTTAATTAAATAGGTCTTAACTTAGGTCTAATTAAGTATTATATACATTATACACTACCATACATCTTTCTTCTCCTTGCTGTCTTGGTCAAATCTAAGATAATAAATGAATAATTAAAGAATCATATACAAGTGTACTTTTGTCCATTAATCCAAGCCAAGTCCAGGTCAAAGTCTATGAGGAAAAATAAACAAGGAATTAGGTTTATCTAGGCTGTGTTGTCCATGTGATATGCCTTAGGTAATGTAATTATAGTCAAATTTCTCTATAATAATCATCCGCTATAACAATACTTTATTATAATAGCCAAGTTTTTTAGAATTAACTTTTCATGTTATGTTATAATATATGTTCTCTACTCACTATATCAACAAAAAAATATTAGAACAAACGAGACAATTATAAAAAAGTTCAACTGTGTCTGTACTAATGATGCATAATCTTTTTGGCCGTCAACGGACAAAAGCCTTTCATTTTTATTATTTCTCTTTTATGCTTCAATCAGGCTTATATACGCATTTGAATAATACCAATCGAGACAGCTTTTTCAGCGACTGGACTATGAAATTAGGCGCAACTAGAAAACGATAACATAGAATAATAATAAATATTAATAGTCCTATATATTCTAAAATTTTTATAATTATATAGGTAGAATTCCAATTTACCATAATTTTTAAAAAAATTAAGAAAACAGATCAATATTAATTTTTTCTTAATCAAATCAAAGATAGGATAATGAGTCAAAATCAAATGAGAAAAGGAAGATATATTCCATAAATGAAAGACTGGTTTTTTAAGAACATTCCAAGCAAGTTCATCAGATTCTTTATTCATATCCTATCCAAATACACACACAAAATGTCACATTTTACACGTTACACGGACTATACCAAATCAGGTCAACTTCAATAGAAATAGAAACTTGATAAATATTCGAATTGACTATGTCTACGTGTAGTCTATGGATTTTTGTTATATTCATATAAAATTAGAAAATATTTCTTCTATGTGACATGTTCAAGTAATTTACGTAATAACTAAAAATTATTTGGAACTTTCAAGAGTCTTTCCCCACTAGAGAAAAGGCACTAATGTAAAATAAAATCTTTTCACATTTGGAACTTGCTTTAGTAATAGAATATTAGTTTGTAGGACCATTTAGAATGGTTGATATTTAATTCAAAAATAGTTTCAGGAATAAACAATTAGATTTTATTTATAACGAGGTCACTAGTAATCGGTTCAAATCGAAGTTCCCATCGAATGAATTGTAGAATCAAGTTAATAGTGCTGTGAATAAATCAATAAAATTAAGCAAATAAAAGATAAGAAAGACCTTATTGATTGTTGTTGTGAACCACAATGCTTGCAAAAAAAAAAAAAAAAAAAAAAAAAAAAAAAACGAGAAATATTGCCTAGCAATAGTACAATAGTTCTAAGTAACAGTTTGTTTAGATTGTTGTTACATGCCGTTTCATAATGTATTGTATTGTATTGTCTTATGAATACAACGTTTGAATAAATTGTATCTTTTGTCGTCGTTTTATTATGTCACATACCAACAATATGAAAAATAAAACTTGCAATATTACTAAGAAAAAATAGAATATGGAGTAGAATTATTATATAAAAGAGTAGGGTCAAGGATATAAATATAATTATTTAATAATAAAAAAGGGCAAGATGAGATAAAAAAGAAAGGTAACAACGCCACAACACCAAATCTGTCGTTCCAAAAAATGACACTTTTCGTTGTTATATACGGTTTAAAATAATGATACGATACAATGCAATAAGTAACAACCATCCAAACAAGATGTAAAGAGTGAATTTAGTAAATTGTGAATGAACATACAAGTAAACTGAACGGGGAGTATTTATAGCCTAAATCTAACGGTTCACATGATCATTCCCCTTTTTGCACGTTGCTCCAAGAAGTTAGTTACTGCCGAGATACTCGCCAGTTGTGGGCGGCAAATCAGAGTAATGGGCATGGTGAATCCCTTGCGTTATAGGGGCGGTTGACAACCAAGTCAAGTTCCGGGTCATAACTTCATTAATTAGTATGTCCCGGCAGTGGCGGAGGCAGGATCTTCACGAAGGGGGTTCCAAAATTTTTTTTTTGTAGCTAGTGGGAATTGAACCCATGACCTTATGTAGATTTTGAACTCCCTTGACCACTAAACTACACTTTTAGATTGTGTTAAGGGTGTTCAAAACTTAATATATAGAGATAAAAAATAGATTTTGCCTTATATATAGAGTGTAATTTTTCGGCGAAGGGTGTTCGGGTGAACATCCTTGCACCCCCCTAAATCCGCCCCTGGTCCCCGGAACTATCTTTGGGGTGTTTCATCGAGACACATCGCTTATTTTTCCGAGGAGGAGTTACCGAATCATATGTACTTCCTGTGAAGATCAAATTCTGCTGCTATCCTGCTCTTGCTCCCGGGGTAAAACTTATTCCAAATGATATCATGTCATCATGCGATCCATCCACGTGTCAGAAAACATCACTATCAAAACTAGGGCTGTCAAATTTGGCCCAAGCACAAATGACTAGCCCAACCCATCCAAGGTTGGGTTGATTATTGATTCGCCCATTTATTGTACTCAACCACATCTTAACCCAAACATCTCAACCCATTTAAAATTGGGCTAATTTTTATCTCAAATTAATTCATGAGTATCTTTGCCAAAATATCTTAGAAAATAATTTTTTTTGTTTGTTTGATATATTATATATGACCATAACAAAATAAAAAAAGTCTTATTTAGTAATT